AACAACAACAACAACAAAATATATATACACACACAAACATATATTGTATTGGGAGAGTCTGCTGTCAAGGACCTTTCCAAATTACTGAGCAGCCTAAATGCCAGTTTAAAGACTAAGCTGCACCTGATTCAGGCCATGATCTTTTCAGTCATTTGCTATGCATCTGAGAACTGGACAATAAATTCAGTTGACAGAAGAAGAATTGGTGCCTTTGAATTGTGTGTACAATAGTACTGAATATCCCATGGAATTCCAAAAAAATCCCAGACAGCTATATCTTGAAGAAAGTGCAGCCAGAGTGCTCCTTAAAGACAAAGATGGTGAAGCTTCTTCTCATATACTTTGGGCATGTTTTTAGGAGAGGATATTCTTTGGAAAGGGACATCATGCTAGAAAAGGTGGAGGGTGAGTGAAGGACAGGAAGACTCTCAACCAGATGGACTGACACAGTGACTGTAGCCAAAGTGAGCGAGAAATGATGAAGATGGCACAGGATAAGACAGGGTTCAGACCTGTTGTTCAAAGGGTCGCTCTAAGCTGTACTCGACCTAATGGCACCTAACAGCAATACAACAACTCTAGCATGTCAGAGATGATGAGGATAGACAGAGTTCAAATCTGTTGTTCACAGAGTTGCTACAACTCAAATTTGACTTGATGGCACCTAACAACAACAATATTGTTAGCTATTATTGTATCATTTTACACATATATTATCTCATTTATTTTTATCTTAGAAGAAGTAGAACTAGAATTTAAATTTATTAACTGTAGTAATTCAAGGCTTGCATCAGTATAGGGGCAGTGAAAATTAAGAAGTTTGCAAAAAACATTAAATCTTTTTAAAAGTTTAATTTATTGTCATTTGAGTGAAAGTTTTCGAATCACATTGGTTTCTCATTCTGTCATTCACGTTTTGTTTTACAACACAGATTATAATGAGTTTAGTTAATTAATTATAATATTTGATCAATCTCTTTCCCTTTCCCTGCACCCAACTTGATGTCTGTTATATTAATTTTTATTCTTCTCTCCCTATCTCTGGGAATCATCCAAGAATAATTCTGGGAGCTCTGGTGGCCTAGTGGCAAGAAGCTGTGCTGCAATCCCAAAGGCACGTAGTTTGAGGCCACCAGCTGCTCTATGAGAGAAGGATTAGCAATATGATTAGCTGCCTCTGAAAACCTGCCGGAGGGTTAGCTATGGGTTGATTCTGACTTGACAGTACACAACAACAACAACAAATCTTCCCTTAGCTATTTATAATAGTGATCATTGTCCTTTTGTGTCTGACTCATGGCACCCAGAATGATTTCCTCTACATTCATTCATGTTGTGCAGTTCCCCCATATTTTTAATTATTTTTTAGTGTTGCATAATATTCCATTGTGTGAATGTACCAAAATTTCTTTAAACCGTCATCTATTGATAGACACTAAAGTTGAAGAAGCAGTAAGGCGAGGAATAAAGAGAGGAGACAAAGCAGAAGATGGGGGGGAAGACAAGAAAACCTAAGAACAAAATAGAAAACAAAATGAGTTAACAAAAATGAAAAATCCTTGGGGAATAAAACAATGAGAAAGAGAAGAAAAAAACCTGAAGGAACATTGAATGGAGTGACCTGGACACTTGATTAGTGTCTCTGTCACTGCTGTGATTGGTGAAGGCAAGATGTCTGGCTTGTGACAGTGTGTCAGTAACAGAAGGCTGGACTTGAGGTACCCAGTCAGGTCAGAGTTTATGAGATTGAGGATTCAAGATGTGATCTGGGCCACTGGTGGCACTTCTTCAGCATAGGGGACATTGAAGGGTGAGGCACCTAATCTGAAACAGAATTTCTGCTTACTTTCAGAGGAACATAGGCTAGTCTGCCTGGCAATGGAGGGTCAGCTACCAGTCAGTTTCAACTTGATGGCAGTGAGTGAGAGGGGGTTTTTTAAAAGGGTTCAATGTTGACCAGTTCTTTTTGGTACATTAACTCTGTATATTTCTTCCATCTTTTTAAAAATATTTCCTATGTCATTCATACATACATTCAGATTAGGTCTATAATACCAGTAGTCAATAGTACTACTGCCTAGTTTGGAAACTGCTGAAATCTGTCTACTATGAGTGGCTCTGCTTGTATTTGAAATATTAATGTCATAGCTTCCAGTATCACAGCAAGATGCAAACCATCTGAATATAAGAAACTGAGAGAATAGTGGTTTTTCACTTGTTTACAGAAGTATAGCTGCATAGCTGCTGGTGAGCTCAAACCACTGATCTTTCAGTGAGCTGCCCAAATACGTGTCTGTGGATGCAGTCATAAACATTAACTCAAAACACAGATATAGGTCTTCCTCAGAAGCCATAATCAAACACTTTCCCACATTGGTTTTTTTGGGTTTAAAAGCTTAGGAGCATAGTCTTTTTTTTATTATTATTAATAGAAGCATAGTCTTACAAAACAGCTCAGTTAATTGATACAACACAGTTCACAAAATTATTATTTGCATCCTTAATGAAATGAGTAGCATCTAGGGTCTTAAAAGCTTTTAGGTGGTCATGTGTGGCACAACTACAGGCCTCCTCTTATCAGGAGCAAAACAGTAAGAAAGTAACTATACGCACAGAGTAGAAACAAGTCTACACAATGCCATCTATCCTGAAATCAGAAAAAAATAGGTGATGCACCTACCAGAGACCATTCTGATCAAGTTGAATAGCTGATTGCAGAGAGCTGGGTTTATACATATGGAACAGAACTCAAATTTCTATTAAAAGGGGTTTAAAAGCTAGTTAGGCTGGGACAGTAGAAAACAGGTCTCTTAACACTGTATCTCTAAGATACTCTTTAAACTTAGAACTTTATCTTCCCACTGAAATAATATTGTAGCAAAAAAGCAGAAAATTAAGGATATTACTCACACGATTGATGCTGTACTTAAAAACAATCAGTATGAGGCCAAAAGATCAATAATTACTCAAAAGCAAAGAAGATAAAGGGGCAAGGAAACTGGAACACCAGAAAGAGAATAAAGGGAATATAATTAAAGAAACTATTGAAGCCCCCTACTGTTTCCAAGGCTTTGTTTCTTTACAAAAACAGACTGCATTAATTTTTCTCTCTTGGAGTAGGTGATACACTGGAGTCTACTGCGTAAATATAGTCATGTTAACCCAACGCCTCAGGTGGTTCTTTCATCATGTGGAGAAGCACTGCTCCAGGAGATGCCAACCTCAGGCGTACATGAATTTTTCCAGCTGAACTCTTAGGGATCTATCTTCTAATCCTAAAGTCAAGCCTCTGTAATGGTTCGATCCACAAGCTGCTCTTTGACAGAAGATGGGATTAAATCCCATGTGATTTATAGTCACTTTAGACGGTAATGAAGAGTCAGCTTTGAGTTGGTCCCAAGTCCATGGAAACGAGTTTGAGTTTTTTGAGCTAAGTCTTAAGAGAGTCCTTGTTGCACAATGGTTAAGCATTTGCTTGCTAACCAAAAGAACAGTAGTTTGGACCACCCAGTGTTCCCCTGTAGAAAGACCTGATCTACTTGTGTAAAGATTAAAGACTAGAAAACCCTACTGATGGTTATATTCTGTTACAGGGCAGGGGTGAAGAAAGAAAGAAAATGTTAACACATGGTGAAAAATGTAACCAATATCATTGAACAATTTGTGTGAAAAATGTAAAATGGGAACCTAACTTGTATGTAGACTTTAACTAAAACTCAACAAAATATTATTTTTAAAAACTATCAATAAAAAACTTTAACAAAATAATCAACAAAGTAATGAAATGAGGGAAAAAATTGGACAATTTACCATTAATTTACAGATAGAAAATTAACATGTGAAGAGATGCTAAAAATAATTTGTCATTCTAAATTCAAATTAGTGTTCTGGACTTTGGTTCATAGGGTCACTATGTGTCGCCTATGACTCGACAGCACTTAACAACAACAAACTCAAATTCATTTGTCACTACAGACACTAAACCCACAATGAAAAAACATAATGTGACACTTCTACACACCATTACAATGTTTAAATTAAGAACATTAACCATAGCAAGTGTTGGTGAAGATGTAGAGAAAGTATAATTCTCACACACTGAATGGTTTAAAATCAGGAAAGGAACATGTCAAAGTTGTATCCTTTCTTCACACCTTTTCAATCTGTATACTGCATTCAATAAGTTGGATTATATGAAGAAAATGTGGCATCAGGATTGGAGGAAGTCTCATCAGGAGCCTATGCTATACAGATGGCACAACCTTGCTTGCAGAAAGTGAAGAAGATTTGCCATCAAAAAATCCCCAACAAAACACACACACAACAAGAACACCCCAAACTTTAAACTCACTCCTTGTCAAGTCAGAATCGACTTAGAGCTGACCTTCAATCATGTGTCTGAGTCTGTAACTGACACAGGAGGAGAGGGCCTCTCTTTCTTTTTTAAACTGCCCTCCTTAAAACAAAGAATAGATTGGTTATCCACAAGTACAGTGCTCCAAATAAAAGCAAACTAACAACTTTATGAGATCATAAGGTCAACAATTATTCTAAAGCAAAGAAATAAAAGAACTAGACTGGGAAACAGAGCAACCAGTAAATAAAGAAACTGTTGACACGAGGTGAAGAATGTACCTAATGTCACTGACTGTATGAAATTACCAAATAGAAACCTAATTCATTTGCTGTGTAAATTTTCACTGAACGTACAATGAAAATTTTTTTAATTCCTATATATTACTAAATTTTTTTCAGGTACAAAAACATATAATACTTCTTACTCACCAGAAGATCATATAAAGGCAAAATGAATGATATTTCACAAAAGGCTGAGGTAAGTCTCAAAAGTTAAAGGGGGGGGGGAAGAGCAGTATATTGTTGGCTAAGGAGTTGTTTAAAGGGTCTCGTTTTTTGAAAAGGTCATGTTTAGAGATAATAGCAGAAGTACAAGATACAAAACATAAGAGGAAAAATTCAGTCTCATCTTGGGCCTTTTCTTTTTATTCTAATCTAGGAAATATGATTACTAAATTTATGAACAATAATAAGATAGATGTGATGGCCACCATACTTTTTAGAATTGAAATGAACTTGATAAGCTATAGACATTATTTGTATCCAGAAGTACCAGCTGGATAGATATTTATCAAAGAATAAGTACCAACTTGTTAGATATTTATCAAAGGGAGCTCTGGTGGTAAGAAATTACGCTGCAGTCCCAAAGGCATGTAGTTCGAATCCCTAACTCCCATTTGTGATAAAGATGATAATCTTCTGTGAGATTTACTGCCTCTGAAAACCTGCTAAAGTGTTAGTCATGCATGGGTCAGTTCTGATTTGAAGGTACATAACAATATGCAGTAGTATTCAAGGAGTAAACAATCTAATGTACACGGAATATAAATTAACCTGGAAAATACAACTAGACTTTTCTTCTTGTATTTAAAACAATAAATTTGAGCTATAGTCACAGGAGAAGTTGATAATTCACCCTCTTAGTTACTACTTGCAACAGCTTCAATAAAACTTTTCTTAGTTTATTCCTGTTTCTTGGCTGTCATTACTAGGAACTGCATTAAGAAAACTTCACTTACTTGTGCACCGAAATTTTAAGCAGATAAGCAAAACTTTAAATAGGCAATGTTCTTACCAGAGAAGTAAATAATAAAACACAGACTCAAAATAGCTGAAAGATGGAAATAACTTAAATATCCATCAGGTGACAGATAAACAAAACGTGGTACAAGCATACAGCAATTTGTTACTCAGGCATAGTGATAAATGGAGTTCTGATACAGCCTACTACATGGATGATCCTGGAAAACTTACTGCTGAATGGAGAAAGTCAGTTACAGAAGTCAAATATTGTATGGTCTCATGTACATGAGTAATTAGAAAAGGCAAATTGTAAAGATCAAAATAGTGGTTGCAAAATATAAGTGAATTTCCAAAATCTCTGTAGATGTTCACTGAAATGAAAAAGAAAGAAATTAAATAAAAAAAGAAAAAATATAAGTGAAGTGGAAAGGAGGGCTTTTGTATAAGGGCCATTGAATTTTTGTTAATGGTAATAAAAAAATTGAAAATAGAGTGGTGACTGCTATACAACATGATAAATAGAATCAACCTTATTAACTGTACATGTAAAAAAATGTTGACTTGACAAACGTTTTGATATATATTACTTTCCCTACATTGTTGTTTTAATAAATTTTCAAGTTGGAACTTACTCATAGATGATTATCCAGCAAATTTTCAGAGGCAGTAAACCACATAGGAGGAGATAAAACAATATAAAATACAGGCTGCTCCTTCATACGCTATAAATTAGTTTGCCATTATCACTAGGAGAAAGGGTTTGGATGTACTGATGTACTGAAATTTTATTTACTAAAATTTCTTTTAGAGATTAGGGGTTTTTTTAAATGAAAATCTGCTTTCCTGAATTTCCCTAAAAGATTAGGGGTTTTTTTAAATGAAAATCTGCTTTCCTGAATTTCCCTAATTTCTGTGAGATTGTTCCATCTTTGGGAAGTTACCTTACCATTTGGAAATTTTCTTCTTAAAGCTCATTTTAATTATGTAGCCTGTCTTAGTTATTTGGTTCTGCTGTACCAGAAATACTACAAGAAACAATCTCCTCCCCCCCACCCCCCAATTTAGGAACCTAGAAGTCCAAATTTAAGGCATCAGATCTAGGGAGATGCTTTTTCTCTGTACTGACTCTGGTGAAAGATCTTTCTCTCTTTATAGAAATTTACTTTCTTATAGTTTAGGAGGCAACTAGTTCGAATCCAAGGTGCCCGCTGAGGGGTAAGACATTCTATCTGCTCTGAAGAAAGGGCCTTGTCTCTCTTGGCTTCTGCGGCTGTGTGATCTCTGCATCTCATGGCATCAACCTCTGCCTGTGTCTAGGAATTTCTCAGTATCCTGGAGCCAAAGGACGTACATACTCAGCTCCCAGCTCTTCTTTCTTGGTGGCACTGAGGTCCCTCTTATTCGGCTTGCTTCTCCCTCCTCTTATCTATTGCAAGATAAAAAATGATGCAGGGAAAACTTCAGAAAAACTCCTCTGGTACACCTAGCCACAAAATGAGGAGTCGAGAACTCGTTTACAGTTTTATTCATATAGCAATGGAAACCAATAAGAAGGCGGTATATATATATTAGGTTTTGTCATGGATTAAATTGTGTCCCTCTAAAAAAAATTGTGTCCCCCTAAAATATACATCAATTTGGCTGGGCCATGATTCTCAGTATTTGGCAGTATGTGATGATGGACTTATCCTACATAATATGATCGTCCAATTGTAAGAGGATTAGGGTGGAATGCAACACTCCTACTCAGGCTACAACACTTATCCAATGAAAGAGGACTTTCAGCAAAGTGTGGTCTGTATCACTTTTTATCATCCAAGGTAGAAATAAGTAGAGGAGGGACTTACCACCAAGGAAAAATTGCTGAGAGCAGAAGGGCATTCTTTGGACCCAGGATCCCAACACTGAAAACCTCCTAGATACCAGTGAGGATTAATACCAAGATATCTCAAAGGGACATTGGATCAACAGGTGTTAAAAGAAGACAAGGACATTGTCCTAGGGCCAACACAGAAGGATTGCATCTCGAACTGGTGTTCTGATTTTTCACTTCTAGTCTTCTAATCTGTTTGTTTAAAAGGTATTTACTTGTAGTATCTGTATCTCATATAGTATTATGAGATACTGAAGGCAGGCTTTAAACATGAAAATCTAAACTTTTGCTTTGTTTAAATATCTTCTAGTTTATGGGAACTAATCTTGGTAATTTTCAAAGTAAGTGAGGTCAAACCTTTATCTTTAATAATAGAATAGAGTAAAATATGGGTATTTTTAATATTAAATGTTTATATTTTACTGACCTTTGGATTCAGTGAAATGTGTTTATAAATGGAGCTCCTTTTTACACATTAATGAGATTCATACTCTTGTCTGTAATTTTATTTTTCATATTTAAGCTTTAGAAAATATCTAATCAGATTTGATGAGCCTGTTTCAGTATTTCTTATATATCACTTACTCTATCTTCACGTAATTTCTTACTATCTTATTTTTTTTAACTATGTTCTCTTTGCCTTCTAATAAAGATTCTGCTTTCTTCATCTAAACCTATCCCAAAAACCTATGTGCCAAAACTTGGCAAGGGTGATGTAAAGGATAAGTTTGAAGCCATGCAAAAAGCCAGGGAAGAAAGAAATCAAAGGAGATCTAGAGATGAAAAGCAAAGAAGAAAAGAACAATATATTAGAGAGAGAGAATGGAACAGGAGAAAGCAGGAGGTTATTCTTTTTTATTTTATTCTTGTGCAAATATTAATTTCATATTTTAAATTTATTTTTCACATTAACCATATTAAGCATAATTAAAATAATTTTCTGTGTTTACCTTATATACTAATGTTAAGCTTTACATATCATTTTGTCTTAATATTTGAAGATATATTAATATAAATTTATTTAATCATCCAGATTAAAGAGATGCTTGCTTCTGATGATGAGGAAGAGGCATCTTCTAAAATAGAAAAGGCTTATGTCCCAAAGCTAACAGGTAAGAAATTTGAGAGGCAAACTGTAAATAATATTGCAAAGAAGAAAACAGCAAAATAGCATAAATTTTCTTCTTATATTTTTAGGAACTGTTAAAGGTAAATTTGCTGAAATGGAGAAACAACGACAAGAAGAACAAAGGAAGAGAACAGAGGAGGAACGAAAACGCAGAATTGAGCAGGATATGTTAGAAAAAAGGAAAATACAGCGTGAATTAGCAAAAAAGGCTGAGCAGGTATACATTCAATATTAAGCTTATATTTGCTTCAGAAACTAATTGAGCAAGATAAAACTAATAAGTATGTTGCCTAATTAAACATTTGAATACAATATAAGCTTAAATGCCTGCTAACTTGAAAATAATGGAGCACTGGTGGCACAGTTTCTAAGGAGCTGTGCTGCAAAACCCAAAGGTGGCGCCTCCTGGTGGTTCAAATCCCCCAGCAGCTCTGCAGGAGAAAGATGGGCAGTCTCCTCTCACATGATTTTTACCTCCTGAAAATCCACTGGAGGGTCAGCTAAGTGTTGGTTCAGACTTGATGATACAAAATAACAAAATAATGGAAGAAATGTGGGACAGTTTTTGCTTTTATATAGTAATTAGTGGTTCTCACAGCCACAAAGGATAAATGATGGAGAAAAATATTATT